TAAATTAGGCTGTGACCTAATGTCACAGTGATTAAAAAAAAAAATTTCTTTACTCAAATTTATATCGGATTTTTATCATAACTACGTGAGTTTATAATTTTTGGGCACTTGAATGATCAGTGATTTTGCGTGATAACAAAATATAAATTTCTACAACAGATTTAATAAGCACTTCTTTAGAATTAAGAGTTGTGATGGATAAAGTTCTCAGTGAGACGATGCAGGTATACTGCTTCCTGCTAGTACTGACCACAGTGCTGGCTGATAATTATATGTGATACATTTGATTATACATGTATGGATATAACCTCAATCATACACGGAGTTTGGTTTTGAATCCCCTGAGAAGAGGTGCCCGTGGTTTTCTCTCCATGCAACGCAAATGAGGGGAAGTAATTTCAGTCTAAATTTTTTGCATGAAGGTGAGTCTGCTTTGACACAATGCTCGATTCAGGAGTCGCCTTGTAGGTTGGTTTCAAGATTCGTTCAATATTACAAGGCTACTTAGATGAGCATTTAAAGCTGTAAAACCAGCGCCTGTCGGCTGTACTTTGCCGGTGGAAAATAAAATTTTAAAACTGTATTGTTGAACAGAATTAATGTCAACATTTGAATCTTTATTAACGCTTCTAACATCTAAAAGTATTTGATCGTTAATTTAAGAGTATTCTTATTTTCTAAATTCTTTCAATATCAACATTTTCAATTTATAATAATTGCTTGATCAATGATGTGATATTGAAAATGTGTGGAAACGAAGTAAGATTGTATAATTGTTTCACCCTGAATTACGATATTATATATTGACTTTGTTTTATAGTACTAAAATTAGCTGTAGTCTTAAGCAATTTCCAAGAGTTATAGGATAGATATGAAGATGTCTCAAATCAATAATTCTGACATTTTCTTATCGCATTCTCTTTTAATCATGAATTTAAAACTTTAATTTTATTACGTTTCATCTATTAAATACATCGTGGCTGACGTTACAGCATTATCATTTATTTTTTATTATAATAAAAAGTGTTTTTATTATGCATGTATATAAAAAATCAACCAACTAAAAAGAAAAGAAATTTTTTAACAAGTTTTTGACAATGAAAAATAAACGAAAAGCGAAACACATTTTCTCCATTCATTTTAATAAATACGTTTAACTCTTTCACGCAGATAGGACACCGGTGTCCTTTAATATGTTTTTTTCTGATCCTCTGATTACAAGCAAAAATATTTTTTGGTACTTTTTAATCATAAAAAAATAGCCTTAAACTTGCTAAAAAAAATCTGTTAGATTTATATCGGAATTATATTTGCATTAAAATATAAAATCCAAGAAAAAAAATAAGTGAGAGAAATTTTTAATTTTTTTCATTTTTATACAAATTTTTATCAATAATTGATTTTGTAAGTTAAAAAGTTTCAGTGATAAATGACTGTTTCTCATAAATCTAAATTAGTGCAAATTTAAAAAATTATTGTTTGTAAATGTAACTTAACAATATAACTTTTAACGCAGACAAGGACACTGGTGTTTCATGCGGTATTTCATAACCATAAATTATTAAAATAATAAATGTAATGTTTTTCACTTATTTTGACCTAAATTAATACAAAATAATGAAAAAGTATGATAAATATGTTTCATAAAAATTCTGCGCTAAAGGTTTTTTTTTTTTTTTTTTTTTTNCAAGTTTTTTTTATTTTTTTTTTTTTTTAAAAAAAGACTTTTCCTAAATTGTGATGCGCTGATAATGAGCTATTGTACCTAACAAATAAGCGGACACTTTTTATCCTTGTTTCATTTAACAAAATAATATGTTATTTAGTTTCAAAGATGAAATTAATTTAATTGATGCTTCCTTTCTCTTATTTGTTCTCATTCTTTCTTCAATGTTTGTAGAATCAATATTGATTAAAATTCGCTGTAAAATTTATTATTAATAATAAATCAATATATGAGTGAAATTAATCATATTAAAAAAGTAATATAATAAGAAATTTAGTAGCAATAGATAAATTTATATTATATAGTAATTTAACAAGCAATGATTTTATACTTTCTTTCTTCTTTAATATTTGTTACTTAAAATCAATATTAATAATAATTTACAAATCAATGAAAATTAGACAAATGATTTTACCCATTCTTCTTCCTTTATGCAAATATTCATTTTGCCAAAATGCCCTTGCTCTTTCTTCATTTTTCATGTCACAAGTGCCTCTCACGAAATGGCACGAAAAAAGGATTGTGTCTATGGAAGAAATACCTGAAACAATTTAATATTTAGAACAATTTTATTAACATTGAACCAAAAAACGTGAGAGATATGTGCATTTTATTCATATAACTGGATTAAAAAAAGGAAAAATCTATCTCTGAGTGTGTTTATAAAACTTCTGTGGATTTATCGAAAATTATAGGAGCGAGAATTACGAAAATTATCGTCTGCACTAGTTAATTAGTGCAGACGATATTTTAAGTTTCGAAATTTGATGCAAAAACGTACTTTCTTTAAATAAATATACATTTTTTTCGACTGATTCAGATTTGTGGTGCTCAAAATATGGGGGAGGAGGAGCCACAAACTAGGAAATATGATCACAGTAGTTTGTTAGGAAGACGGTCCAAAGTTTTGACCCCTTTAATGTTAATTTAACTTTTTGCTTATTTCGCAGTATCTGGGGAACTAAAAATACTGCTTTTTTAAAATTCGATTTATCAGAGCCGCGATGGCTCAGGGGATAGAGCGTTCGCCTTCCAATGAGGTGAACGGGGGTTCGATCCCGGCGATGGCTGGTCGATACGAATTCCGCATCCGGCTTGCACCGTCCAAAGTGCTGATGTGAACTATCGTCAGTGGTAGATGTATCATGGGTTAGAGTCCCCTTGCCGTCAGACTAACAGTGGGTGGCTCTCGTGCTCTTCCTCTCAATATAACGCAAATGCGGGTTAGTTTCACCAAAAAGCCCTCCATGAAGGCAAATCTTTCTTAATACTTGATCCAGAAGTTCCCTTGTCTTCTAGATTGGGTTCAAAATTACAAGGCTACGGAGTTGAACATTAGCATTCGTAAACCCAAAAATTGGCTCGGCTGTTCATCGACGGTTATAATTATTTAAAAAAATCGATTTATCAAGAACAATTGGAACGATTTCTCTCGTATTTTTGCCATGTAAAATTAATTACATTCTTTAAAATAGTAACGTAAAAAAAAATTTTATATTTTATAATTCAAAATTTTTTTGATCATTATTAAATAAAATAATAAATATTTACTTAAAATTGTTTTTGTCTCATATTATCTTTAGATACATAAATTTTATAATTTTTTTTTTAATTCGCTTAAAAAAAATTTCGTAACATAAAAACATGAGAGATTACTAGATTAGAAAGATGAAAGATTTTTATCTGAATATGCTTATAACACCTTTGCGGAGTTATCGAAAACTCGCTTATAATCATCATTATTTCTTTCGATAGTGCGTTTTTGAGCAAAATAAAAACCAGAGCACTTTAATAATTTCTTATCTAATAAATGGATTTTCGCTTACGAAGAAGCAATCTGCAATTTATTTTTTAAAGTAAAGCTTTTCCACAACAACCAGTTTGTTGACCAAGGGATCATGGAAGTTAAGATCACAATTTCGAAAATAACAACAGCATGATGGTAACAATAATGTCGGCATTGTGCACCGAACGCCTTTACTTCTAGGACAAGCTGGTATCCATCGATCTTCAACTGGATGGGCTTCAAGCCAACACTGGTGTTAAAACTTTGAATAAATCACAAACTACTAACAAAAAATATTTGATTTCATATTCTCCTGAAAAGGGTCACTTTTTTTCTAAATGGACTGCGCAAACTGATTCCTCTTTCTGTTTAAAATATTTTTAATAACCAAAGTAAACAATTCGAAAGCATTTAAAAGAACAAATTGAAAATAGTGTGTAGTAGAGCGTAATTTATAAATAGATAAACAGTTTTGAAAAAGATTTCTGAGTCGCACGTCTAGGCAACATGCGACATAATAACTAAATAATTTAAGATGATCAATGTTGACCGTTCAATTTGATGTCTTTTAGGAGAACGAATTTTATGTTGTATTTTATATTTTTTCAATTGTTTCAATACAATTCGGGCAAAATACTGGCCACCCTAAATAACTTTTGATCTAATGATCGGATCTTCACGTTCTAGGTCTCAATTTCAATTGTTTGAGGGGATGACCTCAAATATGCAAATTAATTAGTTCAGACGATATTTTGAGTTACAGAATCAGATACAAAAGTGTACGTTCTCTAAATAAATTTAAAAAAAAATTTTTTTTTTTGACAGCTTCGGATTTCTGATCTTAAAATTATAGGGCGTAGCCGCAATCTGGGAAATATAATCCCAATAGTTTGGTCAGGCGAGCGGTCCAAAGTTTTGACACCTAATGTTAATTTTACTTTTTGCATTTCTGTGCCTGATTTTGTGACTTAAAATATTGTCTGCACTAATTATTTAGCATATTTGAGGTCACTTCCTCAAACCATTAAGAAAGATTGAGTCATGAAGACGCAATCATTAGATCAAAAATCATTCAAGGTCAAAGTGATCAATTTTTATTAAAAAAATATTTATTTTATTTCTTTCTGCACATTGTAAAATTATATATTTATAATGTTTTAGTGGGACATTAAAAATCATAAAGTCTACTCTATAAGAAAATACTTTGATTTCACCGAAACACATATGTATTTCATAAAATTTTTCATTTTCATTAAAATTTTTGTCTTTTTTTTTTATGTCTTAATTCTTTATCATAAAAATTTTATCTTTTTTTTCCAAGTCTTAATTGTCTAGTATAAAAAAGAATTACTTATTAAAATATTATGTAATAAAACTTAGCATACCTGATATAGTTTGGGATATCAAAAATAAGGAGACAATTAACTTCACTGACCTATTCATTGTTAACTTATTTAATCAAGCTACTTCAGTGTTGAAGGATGATTAAACCTTCATCAAAATTTAAAGAAATGTAGAATTGATGAATTGCCAGTCTTATCATTTTTAACATAACACCTGGTCATTTTCTCTCTGATTTTATTTTGAAATGTGTTGGTTGATTTCAATGTCTTTTATCATTCCGTCATGCAATTTCGGATTTAAGGTCCGCATTCTTTAGAAAACGGAACTCCGAAAACGTGGGCTCGCATTTATCAAGTATAAATTGATCAGCGAACTTTTTGTTTTTCGTACCAAGGTTAACAAGGTGGTTATGAGGTAGAAATCAAAAACTTTACTTTTAACTACTGAAGGCCTTGTCTGAAATAAATTTAATTGTTAAAGACAGCAATGTTTGACTTAATTTACATTCAAAGATGAACATATCAGGCAATGACTTAATAGTTAGTTTATGTTAATTAGATACATGCACTACATATTAAGCGAGCTATGAATTACTGGAGGATGAAATTTTAATTAAATAACTGTATAAGAATGTTTATAATCCGCTTAAATTTAAATAAATGTCATTTCAAATTATTTGGACAGTCCTAAACGCAACTTAAGTGGATATCTTCATATACTTTGTAATATAAGACTAAATGAGATTTGATTTGTTAATAGAGGGAAGAACTTTTTTCTCCTTTTCTTGGATTTCTATAAATATATGTATATATATATATATATATATTAAAATTCATCAAAATATATTCTTCTATTATTCAAAAATATATTAAGTTAATATAAGGGTTAATCATAAAAATCTAAAAATTTTTAAAAAAAATCTTATTTTGATCAAAACACTAGTCCAAAGAATATATAACCTGACATTGTTTTGAAACTGATTAAATTATGGACGTGATATTTTAGGAAAATGAACAAAACAGAAAATGTCTTTCTTTGTGTTATAACACAAAGAAAGACTTTTTTTTCCTATAATATTTGGATTTGCGTCAATCAGTTGAAACCTATTTAATATTGAAATTTAAACGCCATATTTTCCGTAAACACCCATATATGTTTCGAAATATTCAGAGAAAGTTTTAATTTTTTATCTTTTCTTTTTGAAACATGCTAATTCCATCGTATTGAGATGTTTTTTGTAATATGTAGATGTTATAATGATAATGTGGATGTTATATAGTGATGATAATAATGTAATTGAGAACATATTTTGTGAAAATTTTATACTTTTTGGCTCCAGTTTGAAACAGGTTCAATATTGAAATGTGGAGGATGTCATATTTTCCGAAAATTTCCAGAAATGTCAAGAAATGTTTTTAACAAAAATTTTTTTATTGTTTATTGTGTTCCAAAATACAATCGGTCTTCTCTCTTGATGGCGTATTAGAATTTTGCAATTGTGGGGTCTTCCGAATTCATTTGTTATTTGTTTCGTTGAAAGTTAAATTGAAAGAACAAGTAATATTGTTAACACTTCAGGTATCATAATAATATTAAATGGCCGCTTTTCCAAACCATGGATGTTGAAGCGGTACCAGGGACTAATATTAGGTACCAGGGACTTTATATCTATGAGCGGTACTCTAGACTCCATGTTTCAAACTTAGACGTAAAACTCAATCGGAAGAAGTAACTCGGACTCTGTAGTCCTCAGGTTTACACGGTCAACCATCCTGTAAGAGTTAAATAAAAATATTATTTTGGTGCGTATAAATAGAGCTATTTATGAATTATTATTAATAGATTGAAATATTTGGTAAATGTACTAGTAATTGGATATAGTCATGATTAAAAAGGTTAAAGGATAGGAATGTCATAATGAATAAATTAAAGGCCGAAACATATGAAAGGGTAATTAAATTAAAGGGGATGTGATCGTTAAGGAAAGTGGTAGTACAATGCTAATGTGGGATAACAATAACCCAATAGGTTCAAAGGGTCACAAAGTGTGAGGTTTGAATAAATTGGATGATTTGGTATCACCAAATTTGGAAAAAGAGCGAAACTAAAATAAATTAAATATTAAAGATAAATAAGGTAAAGTCATGCTATATCCAAAATATATATATGATTTAATACAGTAAGCTGATGTCTCCAGTAAGAAAAACTAATAAAATCACACTTATG